GTCCAGGGGGCCTGGAGAGGGGTGGGGGGGGGGGAAGCAGGGGCATTCCTGTTGCTGCATGCATCCTGGTAGGGCATGGGGGGAGCGTGTGCCCCTTTGATCTGTGTGGGGCGGATTGAGCTGGTGCCGTGGGCTGGGTCTGGGACCAGGGCTGCACCGGACTTTTGCTGTTGGGGGCTGGGCCGGGCTGTGCTCAGGGTAGTGGTGGGTGACAGTGCTGGGAGGGGGTTGTGGGGGGCCTACAGGAAATTTTGGGGTGGCTGCAGCCCCCCCATAGCCCTTCTCCCAGTGCCACCACCACCCACCCCAAGTGCAGCCCAGCCCAGGCCCCACCAGGAAGAGCCCAGTGCAGCCCCAGCCCACAGTGGCATCCCGCCCTGCCCTGTGTAGATCTGAGGATCACATACACCTGTGCTTTCCCAGGGTGTGTGCAGCGGCAGGAGCCACCCCCCACCACATGCCCTCCAGACAAGCTGCAGCTCTGTCCCACACCCTGTCCTACACCCTCCCACACTGCAGGGGCCTTGATCTGTGCTCCTCCTCTCCCTGCTCTCCTACCACAACAGACTTACTAGCCGGACACTGCTTTTCAAGCTGCTGGGCTGAGTATCAGAAATCAGATTGGTATCGGCCAATATGCCTCCTTAAAAATCGGCTATTGATATCGGCCCTAAAAATCTCTATTGGTGCACCCCAGTTGAAGCTACTGCTTTAATATATGAATTTTAAAAAGTTAACTGTAAAGTTCATATAGTAATGTAACATTAATGCCATATTTATTCAGATGGGAACAGTTTTCCTACCAAAAATTTCAAGACTTGAAAAATGTTCCTGTTCCGCATTCCAAGAATCCCAAGGCTTTTCACAGTTTTTTGCAAAAAGTGTGTCAGTTTCTTCCAGTCTCTGCACTGCAGTTTCAGCTTGATATGTGCTGTTGGTCCAGACAAACTACCATGGTGTAGCAAAGGGGCTCTGTCTAGGAGCAGACTGAGGTCTTTAACCAAGAGTGTGGGAAAAAAAGTGAACACTTGTGGCCTGGTAAAAATCCCAGGAGTCAATCAGTTGTCATTTATTTACCCATAAATATGGGATGGCCAAGCTGAGAATTTCTCCTTTGCTCTTCAGGCCTGCCTGCCCTTGCCTATATCTAATGGGCAATTGTTTTTCACACAAGTGTAGTGGTTTGTCCTGGCTTTATTTGAGTGGGAGTTATTTGCTCTTTAGTGGCTGTCATACAGACAGAATGAGGGGTTTACAAATAACAGCGACTCCAGAAATTCTTTTTTGGGTCAAATGGTTCGGACTTGCCTTTCTAAGGTAAAAGGGTAACAGTTTTAATCTCAAATGCTTATAGTAAACTGTGTGGAGCATATGACTTAATTATACTAAAATCCATCACATTTAAGTGCCCACTCATGTGAAATATAGAAGTAGGTACATGCTGTCCATTGTAGATGAGAAGTAACTGATTTTTTTATAGTGAGAACTGTCACTAGAAGTAACTGGTTTTTTTTTTAGAGTGAGAACTATATTTTTATAGTGAGACCTGTCTGATGATTCATTGGGGTAGGTCAAGCATAACAACAGAACAGCAAGACAAGACAGAAAAAATAAGAGACCTAGGACTGGTTATAAATTACAATAGGAGGTATGCTGTTATTGCTATAGGAATGAGTAAATCAAGTGCTAAGTCACATAAATAAGAATATGTTCCAAACAAAGACATAAAGTACACAGAGTACGTAGAGGTTGTGATAGGGAGGGTCTGGCTTTAACAGGAAACAGCCTCCAAAAGTAAACTTTGATAGACCTAGGAAATAAGCTGAAAGCACTGTACTGCATGTCCTCTTTAGGTACAGTACAGATCTGGATATGGCTTCTTGTAGGAAGAGTAGCATAATTTGTGGCTATAATTGAGGCCTGTGAGCAGACAAGCTTAAAGCAATATATTAGGAGAAGTATCTTTATTAAAGTTACAACAATGTGAAACAGTTTGCTATGTCTGTGGTTCCCAGGGTTGTAATCAATTTCCGTTTGGACATTGAGCTGAATGAATAAAGCTACAGAAGGAAGCTGACTATTGATTAGTCTGGATTTCTTCTTGCATCCTGCTCCCTTTGTAAAGAGCCTCTTGCAGAAGGAATAATCCTAGTCATTTTCATTATGCAGCATTATGCATCAGGAGCAAAGTTCAGTGGGAAATTTCAGCCTGTGTAAGTGGTAGAAATCATAAATTTTCACCTTCTAGTAATTATGGTTATAATTTATGGGAGAAGACATCCACTTTGACTTCTGCCAGTTTCCTACCTACCTACACATACCAGTACTGCAGACTTATATAACTGATACCATAACATAGGATTGGTCCTAATCATTAGTTGGACACATACATAATTAACTACTGTAACTGGACTGGGCTTCAGCAGAGATTGTGCCACCCAAACCTCAGCCCTGGCAAAGGATCCTTAAAGTTTGTTGAAACATAGGTTTAATACTGATTCAGGCCCTTTCTATAAGGGGAAATTTAGAAGCAAAGGTGCAAATTTAAAGTGCCAAACTTATCTCAGTGTGTATAACTGTTTTAATTATACCAGTATTACTATAGGAATAGAAGAAAAAGAAATCTCCTTTGTTGATGGAAGAGACTGCCTATTTCTGAATCTTCATGGCTACTTTGTGTGTGGCAGCCTCTCCTGTGAGTCACCTGTTCAACAGCGATCAGATCTCAACCCTGTTTGGTTTGATAAAATAACATCTGAATGTGATATAACTACAGGACATTTCTTGTAGCATGTTTAGGGCAAGCAATTTAAATAAAACTGTAGGCTGCCTCTACACTGTAGAACTGAGCCATTTGTAACTGAATTGGTTGGACAGAACCAGTTTAACCACAAACCCTGCAGTGCATTCATTAGTCATGCTAATTTAATCTCTGAACTTTTGCATTTCTGCCTTTAATCTGCACTAGTGCTATTCTAAACCACTTCAATTGAAATGTTTTCTGTGTACTTATCTACAGTTCTTAAAACACTTCACAGCTGTGAGTTCTGGGGGATTTTTGGAAAACCACTGCTTCACTGTGGGACAGAGGTGGAACGAATAGTTGGACCATGCTTGTAAGCTATACTCACATTAATGCTAAAAGCTTGTGTGTATTGAAGCTTGTGTGTACCGAAGCTTGTGTGTACCAACTACCATCAACCTTGACATGACTCAGACTAAATAGTTCAGCTAAATAGTTTTAAAAATTATTACAGCTATAGGCTAAATCTTTTCTTGGATTGTTCAAAATGACTTGAATCACCTTGAAATTAAGTGAATAGAAGCAGATCAAGAAGCCCAAACCTAGGTCTATATTATGGAACAAACTGGTTTTACAAGCAGTTTAAGATAAACTCTAACTTGGTTTAGGCTGAACTGTTCTTTCTTCTGAATGAAAGTAAGTCTACTATGAATCATTCTTGTAACAGATACCATATAAGGACAACATTCTCTGGGGTAACAAGGGAGGCGTTAGCCTTTAACAGCATATTACATGGACATGGGGTAGAAAGTTTAGCAGAACTAGCTAGCATGCAAATGAGATAATTTATCATTATGAGGGATTAGTTTATGTATGACTAGGACAAAAATAAATCAATAGGTTCCAACATTTATAATACCTCTAAACTGTTAATTCATCTGGACTTCTAAGAGTTTATGACTTCCTCTGAAAGCTGGATATGGTTTTTCTAAAATTGTGTGTCTTTCAATGCAAGATGTACATCCAGTTGTCAGGATCACTGTTACACAATAGATATTGATTGTGTCCATCGGTACATATTTTTAACTGTTTTTTGTATTTCATTAAATGATTTTTAAAGGTTCTTGCAGAAATCTTTTCTAAAAACTGTGTTGATTCTTGTCAGTACACCAAGTTAGACATTTTTTGTGGTGATAAATTGCAGGACCACGTTGTTAGTTTGTATTTATTGTGAACCTTTAACTGTCACCTACTAATCCATCTTCCCTAGGGCCTATTCTCACATTCCTATCCTCTGAGCAGCTTTGATAGCTGCTAGTCACGCAACAAACATGTAGTCAGGAAAGGTGAGGGGTTGCTTTGTGGGAACGAGTTGCGGGGGAACAGGACATTGAGGTGTCCTTCTGAATGAATAGGTCATGTTTAACCCTGAACAGCTCTTGGGCTTAATGTTTATGTCTCCACATGTTGTAGACTTTTCCCATGGGAATCCCTTTTATTAGTAGATCAACCTCATTAAGATGATCCTAAGCACGTTGAAAGTGGAACTTTAGATGAACACCATGTCCACGCAGGCGGAGAGAGGAGGCCGCTATTTGAGCAGAGGGGAAGAGGCCTGGATGGCGGCCATTTCTGTAAGGCGTTTGAACTGAATCTGAAAACTCTGTGACCTGCTGCTGCTGTAGCTGTGGCGGCAGCAGCGATGCTCGAGCAACGCCCAGTCCCGCACTGGGGCTGTTTTGCTCCACGGAGGTAGCACCACCACGGGGCAGGGCTGGCTTGGTGCGACCCACATGTGGGAGGGGCCAGGGGGACCAGCTGAAACTCAGGCCAGCACCTTCCCTGTGTCCCAGGGCACCGTGTGTGGTGGCTTGATAACATGCAGTTCCTACAGCAACTGCCGCTCCCCCAGAGTAAAAACCTCTGAGAGGGGCAGAGCCAACCATGTGCAGACTGGCCAGAGACGGATACATGCGTAAGACCCACCACACCACCTCAGCTCCCCTTAGTGCTTTATTCCTCCCCCCTCAGCCCCGCCCCAGCGTGACGCAACGGAGGGGGTGGGGCCTGGAGGGGGCGGAGCTCAGGCCGCCGGGAGCGGATCACGTGAGGCACCGCCCCTCGCCGTGCGCTGGGATTGGCTGGGGGGAGCCGCGTGCGGCGCGGCGTGGCCGCCGGTTGGCGGGCTGGGGCGGGGCTGCCTGCGGGGGCCCCTGGGAAGG